TTGCCTTTTACATTCCTCTTGGAGGGTTAGTTGCTCTGCACTACAAAATAAGTTAATCTGTCTCATCTTTATGTAGGCTGGGCAAAGTCAAAACAGAGAAACTTGTTTGAAGGTCAGGCAGAAAACTGGCTTAAGGTAAACTTATGCAGTTAAAACTTCAGAGACCACTATAACCTAGGGAAGAGACATTTCCTTTCAAAACTCATTTGAGGCCAGGATGGGGGGGAATACATTGGTCTCTAAAGAAAATGCAAAGTCAAACATACAGTAACAAGGGAAAAAAAAAACCCATCATAGATGATGTTAGACTGACAAAAATAATCCAACTAATAGACTGTTAACAAAGTGCTATGTTTTGTTGACATTTGAACTGAATACAGGAATTATTGAAATTCCTATTTTCCTTCAAAGCTCTAGTATCAAAGAAAAAACAATAAAAATCAGATTGCTGTGCCACTGTATGGGTACTTCACACAAGTTCAAGCAAACAAAGTGAAGGCAGATCTGGATGTCACCTTAATTTGCCCAGATCACTTTTACATGAAATGTATTAATGCTTGTAGAATACTCAAATCCTGTGCTGAAGACACAAGCTGGTAACCAGAAAATCTGCATTCAGCTCAGTGTTTTCCTGAAGCTTGTAATAAAGATAGTACAGATCCATTTACTGAATAACTAGAAAGATGAACAAGTGAATGCTCATTCACAGAGTAGCCCTTCAGGGGACAAACGCCTCACCCCCTCAAAGAGGGGTTGTCCCCTGAAGTGTTTGTTCTCCTATTGTCTGCATCTTGGGAGATGTGCAAGAGATCAGAAAATCAGTTTATGCACTGTAAGATTCACACTGTTGCAACTCCCCACCATCCATAGTGTCAGGTTCCCAAACTTCCCAGGATAGCCCAGTCTCTCGATTCCCTCCCTGGTCACATCAGACTTCTAAAAGTTTCTTTAATGTGCATCAAGCAGAGATGGCATCTTCTCTGGGGAAATCAAAAGGCTGAATCTTGTCACAAACTAGGAGTATTCATGGGTCAACAGGCATGGGGAAAGCCACAGCATTTTGTGGAGTACAACATGAATCCATAAATATTTATGAAGTGCAAATACTCATGGGCTACATCTGTATTAGTGAACTAAAAGGGTGACAGAACAGTCCAGTGTCAGTCTAAATCAAGAAAACTGTGCCCGCTAACACTCTCCCAGACAGTATCTGCCACTTCTCAGGGTTCAGCAGAGGCCAGGGACCATTTCAGATAAGCAGATTAGATGCAGATGCTCTGTTTTGGCAGAAATAAACTCAGCTATACAAAGGCAAACTGAGCTTTTACTCATGTAGTATAGATGTTGCTCAAGTCTGTGCAAAGTGGCATATCCTCCACCTGAATCACCACACAGTTTTCCCATATCAGCTGATGCCTAACAGAACTGCATGGGATATAACACTCCTTTCACAGCAGCCAAGTGTAGGTGCCAGCTGTACAGGTATACTCCTGACATGCAAGACCAGAGTGGTTTGCTAGCACTAGAAGCAGTACAACATTTGGTGACCGCTGGCATCAAGAGGCCCCTGTGCTTTCTGACAAAGAAGCATGACTGAACAGGATGTTAGCCCCTTCCTGCTCTTTATTAGTGTCCTTGTTTCAGCCGGGATAGAGTTAATTGTTTTCCTAATAGCTGGTGCAGTGCTGTGTTTTGCCTTAATGTGAGAATAATGCGGATAACACACCAATGTTTTAGCTGCTCCTAAGGAGTGATTATCAAGAACTTTTCAGTCCCTCATACCCTGCCACTGAGGAGGGGCATAAGAAGCCAGGAGGAAGAAGAGACAGGACACCTGACCCAAACTAGCCAAAGGTATATTCCATACCACAGCACATCATCACCAATACATAAACTGAGGGCAGTTATCCAGAAGGCAGATCACTGCTCAGGTTGAGTTGGGTACACTCGGCAGATGGTGAACAATTGTACTGGGCATCACCTGGTCTTTGGTTATGTGGGGTTTCTTTGGCTTTGTTTTGCGTTTCCCCCCACCTTAGGTTTTAGTCCTCTCCCCCCTCCCCTTTCATTATTATTATATTTTACCTTATTTCAATTATTAAACTGCTCTTATCTCAACCCACAGGTTTTACTTGTTTCCTCCCACTTATTTCACTCCCAGCAGGGAGTGCAAGCATCTGTGTGGTCCTTCATTGCCAGGCAGGCTTAAACTACAACAATCAGCTATCAATTCTGTTAAATAAGACCTTATTTCTGTTTCCAGTGTAAAGGCACCTTCCTATCTCCTCTCATATTAATAGTTAAAACAAGACTCCTCACAAACCTTCACACTAAATCCCTCAAATACATTGAAACTAAACATTTACTTTTATGAACTGATGTTGCTTTAGCAGTATGACTTGTGCCACGTTATATAAGTTAACATCTCCAGTTTTCTCAGCTTTAGAATACTTTCCACAGTAACTCATGAATAGTTTTCCAGGGTAGAAACATGCAATGTGCGCTATGATTGCTGGCCAGTAGAGGGAGACGGGATACTGTCGTCAAATAGAAACCGGAACGGATTTCAAAGGATGCCAATAAAACAGAACCCCATTTTTAACTTCTTCCCTTGATTGCTACTAACTTACAAAAAGGGAGGCAAGAAGTGAGCCCTTATACACTGTTTTAGCTCTAGGATTATTAAAAACTGGAATTCAAATATTTGGAGAACTTTTACAAGATTCATTCACACTGCTTCTCAAAGTGTCACCTTCACACTGGCTCACCAACTGGAAATGAAACTGCAACTTCTTTACATTACCAGCATTACCTCAACACAGCTTCAGTAATGAAAACTGCCATCAGGCATGATTTCACATAATTAACCAAGAGATCTGGGGAATCCAAAGGAACGGTGACCTTCCCTAATGGCGCCAAGACTAACTGGGGTTCATGGAAGTAAAGAAAATTCACCTTCCCAATTGCAACAGTGACCAAGCTCACACCTTTAACCCAGGTGACCACTGACAGCTGAGAACTCAACAGGTCATGCCAACAAGCTGCAGGTACAAACTCCCAATAGATTATTCTCACACCATGAGATAAATCCCAATCAAAAGGAAGCTAATAGTCTTTGAGAAGAGCTGAAACAGTGACAGTAAACACTACCATCCCAAATTTGACCATTCAGGTCAAGAGGCCTGTATAGTTCAGAGCTGACAGTGATTCCCTCTTTTTCCCCTCCAAGATGATGAAAAAGTCAACATAATCAACCTCCTAAAGAAGCAAGCTTCTGAGAGAGAAAGAAATCTCTGAGAAGGAATGTGGCAAGAAGTATTCGTTAGTATTGTATCTAAATGTAACAGATACTGTTAATTAGAGCTTACAGTGCTTGCATGGAGTCCTTGTGAGTGGTGAAATGAAGAGCAGATGCAGCTGAAAAACTATCAAACAGTCAAGAAGTGGAATATACATAAAAAGTCAACAATGTGAACATTTAAACTCCGTAGGACTGATGTCTCTGTACTTGAAAGCTCTTCCTCTAAGTTTGCAGGCTACTTTTTTCCACCTCTACCACACATCAGGTATCTTTTGACTACAAGATTTATTGTCCAGTAAAGCACATAGAAGAACCCTAGGGAAACAAAAGCAACTGTTCCATGGATACCAAGGTGCTGAAAGATAAAAAGTTTCCAGTAGAAGTCTGGCTTTCTAGGTGAAGGAGGAAATAATCTAACATGAGACACTGATAACTACCAACTTTGATGTTCAGCATTGCCTTCTCAGCTACCAGACCAGTAAACAGAAGGAGGTCCATTGGCACACAGGCAGAATCTCAGTCACAGCCGTGCTCAAGTTATAACGCTAGTACTGGATAGGGTACTTACCTGTAAGGACTCGGCCAAGGTATCAGAGGCAACACACAGAAGCCCCGGTGTGCTCAGACTCATGAGGGAAACTCCCTCACTAGCAAGATGCCTGGATAATCCAAAGAATCCAGTGCTGAAGTTAAAGTTGCTTTTTTTGTACTGAGCAGCAACTGAAGTGCCAGCGCTTTAGCCATGCTGCAAAACGTTAGAAGGATGCTCATCATTGTATGAACAGGCTAATTATGTGCAGTACTCTTGATCCAGCTTACTACTTGGCCTTGTGCAGTGTAGGCTTTCCACCCTTCAGATCACACCACCTGATCTAACATTATATGATACACATGATGGTTCTGTGAACTTTTTAGGATGAAGTATCTACTACATAGTTGCCTCTGACTTGGGGAAAGCTTAGGTCTAATTGAGCAGTACATTCCAGACCAAAATTACTTAATGGGCTTAGTTAAGAATTTGAGCATCTTTAAAAGCAAGAGCACATTGAAACAAAAACCAAAGCAAGCCAAAACACACCAATTGCAAAATCCAGGAAACAAAAAGAAAGCTGCAGCTTTCTACCATGCTACAGAGCAGATTAGTCTGTTTCTATAGCAGGCAGCTAATGCCATCTTTTGGCAAACAAACTCTCCAGACAGAGCCAAGAGTCTAGCAGATGATTTAGTGATTAAAAGCAAAATGAGAAAACGAAAACAAAAATTTTCTGGAGAATGTAATAATTTGCATAATGAAGGCATCCATTTTAGTCCTGAATTGCCTTACCAATACAGCGGGAACAGGCTCAAAACACCTGGATATTCTTTAGCTATTGCACAGGAATCTTTATACAAAATGTCTTTATGTAAATTCTGATAGCCACGAAGAAGCCAATATAAGTTTGGGCTTGTCTGAAAGGTTTTTGGATACTGATTCCAACTACAAAATAAATTATATCCTCTTCTGTTCTGCAAGGATGTCTTCCCACAGCTCCTCCTCTGGTATAACAGGACAGATACAGTTGAAACAATATGGTTTTGTACAGTCAAAGCACAGCATTAAGGGAGAATTTCTCACCAAGAGATCAAATTCAACACTAAGGAAACACTCATTTAAAAAAATTAACTGCAAGCAAAGGCAGACTGAAAGGAGAATACTCACTTGTAGCGTAGTGTCGAAAACAACAAGCTTAGAGCTTGTTGGAACAATGTCATAACACTTGTGTGACCTCATGAATCGCACATAAATGTCACTTTCCGATTCTTCAAGTGCTGTAAGTAAAAACATTATGTTGTTTTATTTAAGTAACCTTAAAGTTAAAAACATGTCAAATCAATCAAACACCACTGCAGAAGGACAACCCTAAAGCAAAACTCAAATTCACACTTTCAGATCTGGACCGACAGTCTTGGCACTTTGCGTTTCAGATTCATCCTTCAAATTAAATGGACAAAATGTATTGGTATGAAAGTCCTTTCCCATCAAGAAACAATAAAGAGTTGTATTTAAAACAAAAATAACCTGTTTTCTAACAGCAAACTACTGGAATATGCATCTGAACTCTAGTTATGTACAGGGGAAGCCAGTCTGAAACTGAAGAAGTGCCAAGCTTGACTAACTCAAGCTCTTTAAATACGTATTTCTTAAATCTCATCTCTGTCCAGTCTACTTTCCACATAGTAATTTTGTATTTTCAGAAGAGGGTGCAGGCAAGTTATGTCATCAGTTCTATTCCCTTCAGGTTGTTTCACATACAGCATCATGAACCCAAAACTTCATAAAACCAGGATCCACTTGGCTGGAATGGCTTTAGTGCGGCACACCTGTAGCAAGTTCATATTGCCTTAAATCTACGTTGCATTTGTCAGAGTTCAGATGCATATTCACGCATTCTGCAGATCTGCTCAGGTGTGTGGGTTTTTCTTTAAAAGCACTTTGGCCCTCCATTCTTCCTAGCAGGTACCTAGAACTTGGTCAAGGTTAACCCCTGCATCTGACAGGCATCCTCTAAACCTTGTAGTAACACACAAACTTGGTCATGTGTTAAACTTCTGAGTGATGTAAAAATAAATAAAACCACCATGAAACAGCTACTGATCATTGAAGAACTTCATACCAAGAAGCAAAACTCAAAATCCTCATTTGCAAAATCTGCTCATCAGTCATTTGGCACTATACAAATTAGTCATTACTTCCATAGCACAGCTTCCTTAGTCCAGTTCTGCAGAAGCAAAGCTGAGCTGCCCCTGCAAGTGGCTACTCTAGAATACAGGCAGTCTCTTCTATGTGCTAAGCAAGTCCTTCACCTCCAACTGTCATTACTCTTTAAAAAACACAACCAACCACACCTTTTTCCCACTGGAATGCGAAATAGAGGTTGCGTAAGAACACGTAAGAGAGAGCCCAGCTGGGAGGAAGCAAAAGAAAAAAGAAAATAACCTGTTGGATTTACGTTCCTATAAACGTCAGGACCAGAACTGAAAATAGCAGGAGCTGGGAAAACTGATAAGAGATTAGGAAACCATGTGAGCAAACTGACAGGGAAAGGACAAAGCAGGCAGACCTGGACAGTGTTGGTAGGAAACCACCTTTATGAGGTGATCCCAAAGGGGAACTGCTACTTACTATATCATGTATAGAAAAAGGTTAAAAAGAAGATTTGAGACAGAGAAACCTTTATGGAACTCCTTAACATACCAGCATCTTATCATCCCCTAACTTTTGCAGTAGCATAAACAGCTACTGTGTGTATGAAACTAATTTAAGGACTGTGCAATAAAGTGAGTTGTTAGGAGGTTTCTTGTTAGGATCTTTTGATTTGTTGTTTTTGTTTTTAAATACACAAACTAAAGGCAGTGATGTGACCAGGCACTAAGCATTGAAACAGTATAAGAACATAGAAATGTCATACTAAACTTCCTGAAGACCAGAGATCTAAGTTGCTTCTACAACCACAAATGCAGTCCCTCTGTGCAGTATCTTATTTACTTTAATGTTATCTTTTCCCATGGATAGTACACAATGAGAACAGCACCTGAAGCAAACCACCAGTAAGACTGGCTAACATAAGCAGTAGCCACTAGAGAGACTGCACTCTCATGTTTCCCCAGCACTACAACAGCCTACAGAACAGGACAAAACTAATTTCTTCCAATTTTAGTCCCGTACCTATTTCCTTAGATGCCTGATACAGCAACTGGAATAAGACAGCTCTGGATCATCTGCAGACCAAGTTTATTCCCAAAACTGACTGAAACAGAGGTTCTCCAAAACCTTCACCAAATACCCAGAAACTACCACAAGAATATGTATGCAGGAAAGTTACTATTCTAATTATGAATCTGTACATCCTATTGAGTCTGTAGCCTTAGCAATATGACATTATATACACAGTTAAGTACACTAAGGGTAGAAACAAACATAGGAACAGCTCAAATAGTGGATGAACTATAAAACAACCAACTACCTTTAGCTGAAAAAAAAAAAAAAAGCAAAATCCAAAGCCTAAAAATTACACTCTTAGAGCACATCACTGCTCAATACAGTCTTGCCAACAATTATGTAAGCTTAATGTATTATGATAGATAGCCCAGTAATTGTGAAGCACGACACAGATTTAATCAGCTAATGCTGTTAATGGCAGCCGCCCGTCTGTATTGAAGTGTGTGCCTGTAAACCCTCCTCTCACCATACACCCCCACTGCACAAATACAATTCCAAGTGGACCTTGACAATCCTCACCCACTTTGGGTGCATAGGATTGATTAGATGCTAGATAGATGATGCAACATGGGTGAGCCTTACGTTGTCTTCCAGAACTCAGAGAAGGCACCACAAAGCAACTGCTTCCTAAGCTGACATTGGAAAGTTACAAATAAAGATACTCAGAAGCATGAGATAGCTATCTGTGCCCACTGCTTAACACCCATATAAATAGCTAAGAAACTAGCAGGACCTGAATGAGGATCCAATTGTCCAGCTGGAACTGAGGTTCATTTCTACAGATCTTTATACTTACTTATAAGTATAATGCACTGCTTCATTAGTTACTAACTAAACATGCAAAACGTAATCAGCACTGAGTTAACTCATACGCCCTACATGACTTCCTCAAATTGGATGGACATTATGATTGTTTGAAAGGCTTTTTCAGACCTAATACCTTCAGCTACTTGGGATTACTAAACAGGTGCTGTAGCCTAATTCTTTGTTTGCATGTGCATTATGTATATAAAGCTGCTCAAAGGAGAAAAGTTCTCTCAAGCTGAATGCTTAGCACATCTCAGGGTGCACTCATACCCATCCTTCCTGTATGGTACAAGAGGACAGGGCAGAGTCTTCTTTACAGATCTTCTCACCTTCCAGAGGACAAACTTACTGCTTTTGGTTGTATTCAACCACCACCGTGCTGCAAATATATATATAAAAAAAAAAACAAACAGAACAAACAAGTAAAAATACCCTGATCTCCACTAGGATATTCCTACTTCATTAGTTATTTCCCAGTTCTAGTCTTACTTGCTTTTCTGATAAATGCTCATCTTTTCTGGCTACTATTAGGCTTCTGCAGTCTTATCATGTACCCGCAAAGCAGTACCCCCTCTGGATAGACAAGAACAGATGCATTTCTGCTTGACTTAAAATCTGACTCAGCCTCTGCATGCCATTTCTGATCTGCACTGGAGATCATCTGCCCAACATACAGGAGCTATGAATCTATACTGGCCATTCTTTCACCATAAACACAGTAACATTCAAATGTTGATATGACAACCGTGTACTACATGAGCAAGTGGTGGCATAAAATCCCTGCTCCTGCTTGAAAAAGCGACTATGGAATCCAAAATCAGATTTGCATAAGAATCCTCATTTGCACAAGCCCCAGTTACACTAATTTAATGCTTAAGATGTCTATCACACTGATGGGCCACAGAAGAGGAGGACTACATGTTACAGCCCAACTTCTTTAATCAGGGACTTCTAAGCAAGTCCTTTTCCTTCTCAGAGGCTCAACTGGAATAGCACCTGTGCTAAGCATGGTCTGTCCTTAACATTCCCATCAATTGTATTCCCTCTCCTTTGGGCAGATGCCCAGTGTATGCCTTTCCATATTACTCCTGCAACAACTTTTGCAAGGAGCGGGAAGATGGAATGACACTATACGATTACATCTGCCCTGGCACAGCAAAGACAGTTGCAGATCAGCCTTACAGAGTGCATGTGCTGCACCTTCACTGAGGACTAGACCAAGACTTAGGACACTGCCTCCAGCCAAACCTCAGCTTTCTGCAGCTCATGAGCTGGAAATTAGCTGGCTCACAGACAGAGCAGATTCCCAGCAGAAAACATCTTAATCTAGAGCAGGATCAGCAAAGAAGAGTCCACTAATAAGTAGTTGAATGTGTATTTCCATGGGGAGAAGGGGATCAGTCATGAAAGCTTGTTTCTTGAAGATTCATCTTGAAGTTATTTTGCAAGTGGACATTTCTCCATGTGCACCCCCTCTCCCCAAGTCACCAATGAAGGCAAAAAAACCAAACCCCAAAATCCAAATCCCAGTGCTGTTTTCTGCAATTTTTAGCAGAGCACAAGTAAAAGCCACCTGAAAGGTTACAAGTTCTTTTGACAGTTTAAAACCTGAAATTTAGAGCCTCGTCATACAGCCTTTTACAGAGTATGCTCTCTCAGTGGCATTTTATTTATTCCTACAGTTGGAGATCCTTTAAAGAGTTGAATATCAACCTATTTTATTTCTGAGTTGGAGATCCTTTAAAGAGTTGAATATCAACCTATTTTCTTTCTGTCATCTATTCCCCAGTCTTACTCACCTATTCAACAAATGATTTCTGCTCCCTTCTTGTCTCACATCTCTGACATTAACATGACACATGCCTTAACTTTTGTTTCAGTCAATAAATATCATTCACTAAAACATCACAGTGTTGGGGTTTTTTTCTTAACAGAAACTTTTCAGTGATTGCAGTGAGATTTAGTACTAAGTACAACTGTCTATGTAGAGAGCTCTAAGGTAGAGCTATCATCCGAATACTCGTAAATAACAGGGAAATTTCTTCTCTGGCATTACTAAATCCATTTCCTCAGAGTGTACTTAACAGATGCCATCAGTTCCCCTCCTACTTTTGCCACCATGCAGAGTGCTTTTCTGTCGTAGAAATTCCCCTCAGAATTTCAAAACCTTCAAAAGAAAAGGAAAGGAAAGAAAGAAGTGCCTGCAGACGGAGAACAGAAGCATGCAGTAACACATGTTCAA